TTTGCTTGGTATTTCCGGTTATTTCTCCACTGGTTAACATGGGTTAACAATATCGTGTAGCTGTCACGCTTTTCACGTTTTGAAAAGACGAAACCGTGACATCTTCACGTCTCCCAGCAATGGTAAAGCGTCACATGTTCACGTCTCACCGTGATACCGGGTTGCTTTTATCCTGGATAAAGTGTTTAAGTCATGGATGTTTAAAGTTTAACTTCTTCATATTTGACTAGTATTAAAGTTCACTTTTCATTCAGGAAGTAAGATGCTGCGCTGTCAGTACGCTTCTCCATGTTTGTGATTGGTCGAATGCTCCAAATACCACCCCTTTCATGTGAACGCGCACCTAACTAGATAGGACACGGCTGGCTTGAGCGATCCACTTGATAACCAGCGTCGTAGTACAGTTTAACGACAGCGCGTATGTTTTGGATTAGGCCAACCGGCTAACTCAAACATATCCAGGTTAGGAAAATCCAGCTTCGTAGTACAGGCCTCTGATGCTATCATGTTCTAAACAAACCGAACAGTTAACCTTACAAGCAAACACAACAAGCTTGTAGATTGACACTTTGAATATTCTGGCTTACTGTAATTTATATAAACATATAATCAGTCTTACTTTCTTCAAACAGATGACCCTCATTGAATTCACACAAACACAATTTAAATAGCTCAATATATAGAGATAAAACACTGGAAACATGTACGTACAGTGTCACGCAGGCTGAATTGGAAGCTCTACGAAATAATATAGTATCTATTTATTTATTTATGATGCACTGGTAAAACCACCCACATGTAAGAAAAGACTGGTAACATTTGAAGGCACCTAAAACGTATCATCAGAAGTAGCAGGTGTTGAGTACAGGACAATTAACTGTGGTTAGCGTGGCATTTAAAAGCTGTAATAAAGGTTGAGAACAGGCGGATAAAAACAACATTTACGATTATTGCTTTGTTGCATCCACTCGACTTAGCCAATGAGGCCAGAGGACATTGGCACACCAGTCACAAGTAAAAAATCCAAACAGAGCCACAGACTCAGTTAATTAAAGGGGACCTATTGTCAGGATCCGGGAATATTAGGACTCAAATGCAGTTAAAAAGGGAAGCGGGTTCCAAAACAAAAGCGAGCTGTATTCAAACAAAGCTGTTGGCATGAAAAAACAAGACAAAAACCGTGAATCATAAACAGGTAGCATGAGGTAAGTGAAAACATGGAGAGTGAGAAAATACAACGAACCGACATGGAGCACAGGGGAAGACAAGACTAAATACACAGAAGGGTAATCACAGGACAAGACACAGCAGGGCAGGGGAGGCAGAAACACAAGGGCAACAGGTGGACACAATGAGGCACAATCAGACACAGGAGGGCAAACACGGAAGACCAGACACAGGGAGAACAGAATTTCAAATCATGACACCTATCCTGCAAAATGCACTTGTTTATGTCTTTTATACATAAATATGTGTCCCCGGTGTGTCAGGGAACTCACAAAGTGTCAGAAAACAAAACCCTCTCTCTTTCTCTCCGTACCCAAATCTCTAAAAACGGGGGTACAACGAAGCTCATCCAGATTTGCGTGAAATGTGGACGCACAGCACTATCAGAAACGTTGCTATCAGAAACAATGCCCGACGTGTTTTGGAAGTAATATGGTCTTTGTTTACATTAGCAAGCCTCGCTAACACTCAGACCTAACCTGTACTGGAGAGAGTATGTGTAAAAAAGCAGGAAATAAAAAAAGGAACTCAACTTGTGGTAAACCTGCAAGAGAAAAAGCATTTGAACTACTGTTTCAGAAATACTGTTTCAGAAATAATCCTTGATGTGGTTTGGAACATGATATGGCGTTTAATCACGGCAGCGTTTAGCTGTATCTCGTAGAATTCTGAGCAGGCACAAGCTCCCCCTCCTCTTTTTTCTTTCAAGCTAAGGACCCCGAACCTGCAGTTCTCTAACAGGACTGGAATAGACGGATATGAGGGATGTCTAAAATGCATTATCTGTTTGATATTTTGAGCATAACACATCATAGACATGTTTTTTATATATTTTTATATATCTGAGACCCATAATATATGCCCAAAAATTGCATGATAGGAGACCTTTAAAGCGAACCAGTGCCCTTAGGTTATGTCAACCTAAAGCATCTTATTGGCTTTCCTAAAGTTTTACTACTTTCTGTTCCAATGTTTTTCACAATATTATAAGCAAACAAAACAAAGTGCAAGAAACAGACCCTGAACACAAACTCAAGACAGGAAATAAAGCAACACACAGAATAATTAAGACAGTTGAAACAGTTATCTTCTGTATTACTTTTTATTTTTGAATTAACTGTGAATATGGGTGGCCTATTAATGTGGATTCAACCATCCTTCAACCATCCTATTTATGATAATGTTTTCTTTGATGTGTAGTTCTCAGAGATCCGATGTGGTCTAGATACTTCTGTATTTTTTTGTTAGCGCCTCTAGCAACTTGGTTCCACAAGCAGCACGGGGAGCTGTAAGGGAGACATGCTGGATCAAAAGGAGCTTACTCATGTCCTTCTCCCAACTGTACAAAAAAAACATATGCTTACAACTTTAGTAGGTTACCATTATTGTTGAAGCACAAATGGACAAAATTGTCTGTAGTCTCATTTATCTATTTGTTAACAACCAGCTTTTAAAAAGCTTCAAAAGTAGTTTTAGACATGACTTGATAGGACAAGCACAGATGTATAAATAACATTACATTACATGTCACTTGTTAGGCGCTTTTACCCGAAGCGACTTACATAATCAATACTGTGGGCAATCCCCACAGGAGCAATTTGGGGTGAAGTGTCTTGCCCAGGGACACTGCAGTGGGGATTGAACCAGAACTCCTCTTATCTGAGGATCAGTGCACTGGGCCACAGCCTCCATATATATACACTGTATTAACAATATTTTATTCACGAATTCCATGTAGCTGCTTCAGTTTCATTATCGAATAAATATCACATGTACCAACGCAAGACCACTGTGAAACATTGAACACTAAATGAAAAGGCTCTCTAACTGCCACTGCTTGCACTCAATATAAGAGGATTTTTTCCTTTGGGTCCTGCCTGCTTCACTCAACCCTGACAGTATGGTTCTGATGAGCAGGTGGCACCTTGTGTAGTAGCCTCTGCAAAAACTGTATATAGGTGTGTGTGAATAGGAACATGTCTGCTTTTTTTGTAAAGCTCTTTGAGTGGTAGCTAAAGCTTTAAAAGTGCTATATAAATGCCGTCCATATACAGTACATATACAGAGCAGGGTCAAAGCAAATGTATCTGCTGAATGTGCTGACATGCTACAAGTATAATGCAGCACATTCAGAGTATACTGCAAGTATGGAGAAATAGTTGTATCTAACTTTCAAGCCATTAAATTCAATTCCAAGTACTTATTTAAAGGTTACATGATTGGTGGTTAGGGTTAGGTTCCATCTTCTAATTTACTGTATATTCCAGGCAAAGCAATTAGTACGGAGCCCCCTAGGGGACATGGAGAAGAAAAATAATAATAATTTGAACAAAAACAAAAACAAAATGTTTTGCTAGATCTCGCAAAACCCCTTTGCGAGATCTCGCAATACTTTTCATTTAGTACTTCCTGGTCAGTTCGGCTGCTACGGCAACACAGAAACCACAACAATGGAGTGGTTAATCGATTTTACTTTGAGCTTGGCCTTAAATATAAAGATATAACATCAGTGCTCGGGTTTCACACATAGACTGTATATATAAAAGGGTTTCACATAAGTGAAGACACCTCAAGAAAACACTCAGAGCGAGGGGACATGCACGTTTCGTTTCGCGGATCAATAACTCATGAACACAACGTTGTAAAAATACAAACAACATGACTTTACAATCATAGCAAGGTAGACAACGAGCTACAGTCGTTTTTATCAGAACAGTTCGATACGCGCCGTCATCCGAGCTAAACATCAAGAATTGGTCACAATCCGCAGCTGGAGGAGGAAGAGGAGTGCTTAGGGACCGTTTACAAATTGCAATGGGGTTTTGCGAGATCTCGCAAAAGTATTGCGAGATCTCGCAAAACCCCTTTGCGAGATCTCGCAAAAGTATTGCGAGATCTCGCAAAGGGGTTTTGCGATATCTCGCAAAGGTTTTGCGATATCTCGCAAAACATTTTTATTTTTATTTATTTAAAGGGGGCTCCGTAAATTAGCCTGTTAAAGGTGGGGTAGGTAAGTTTGAGAAACCGGCTCGAGATACACTTTTTGTTATATTCCATGGAATGCTCTTAACATCCCGATAGCAATGAATATCTTAAGTGCTTTGAAAAAAAATCCATTAAAAAATGTCATCTGTGGAAGCCGTAGTACTGTAAAAAGCACGACCAATCATTTTAGCTGGCCCGGCTAAAATAACTGGATGGCCTACCTGCCCGTCAGCTTTCCATCTGTGCACAAACTTATCTCGTGCCCTCATTGGTCATGTGCACGTTCGTGTGTTGGAGGGGCTTTGTAAGGAAGTGGCAGATTTTTTCCGGTTGTGTATTTTTAAATTCTAGCGCACTCGAGCTGGTTTCTCCAAAATTACCTACCCCACCTTTAACATTCAAGGTACCGTCTCTTGAAAATAACCTCCAATGGACATCTTGTACTTTATATTGTACTATTTTACCAGTGGCAGAAATATATTTTCTTTCTTCTTAAAAGAAAAAAAAAACATGGTTTTATTGTATTGGCAGATTCAAACTGCAACAAGAGCAAGTATTTTAACATCATCAGATGATATATTTTAATTTCATACTACATTTTCATTGTCTGTAGCACATTTCTAGTCGATAAATACTTGCCAGAAAATATGTGAACAAGACCAGCATTAATTTAAATAAATTCTATGATTGACAGAAATGCCTTCAATACACTATTAATGAACATTTAAAGATACATGTTGACATGTATTGTGTCCTGGGGTTATCTTTTGATTGTGCACCATTTTCAGTTTGTTTTGCAGTGTGGAAAAACCGTCACATGCGCACCGTGACCAACTACTTCATAGTGAACCTTTCCTTTGCCGATGTCTTGGTCACCATCATCTGCCTCCCTGCGAGTCTCGTGGTCGACATCACAGAGACCTGGTTCTTTGGAAAAACTCTTTGCAAAGTTGTGCCTTATCTGCAGGTAAGAGGAACAACATTTTTTTCCCAAGATGTATTCCTACTGCACTGGGGAATTACTTAAATTCTCCCTGAATTTAAATCAACAGTCGCCTGGCTTTTCCATGCTGCAGTGCTGTATTACCTTAGAGGGGATCATCCCCAAGACGTGAAACTGTGCTGCTATCTTCTTTCGTAATACATTATGTTGTAAATCCAATTAAATATCTTGTTCCTGAAAGAAATGATAAAAACCGTAGAGGAAAGTGAGTTATGAATGAATGTTTATGTTTATGAATATTGAAATAACTGCAGCATAGTCTTCGGTTTGTATTTGCACTCAATTGAATATTGAATATTATATTTAGGGAATGGGTTAGGGCAGCATAAGCACAAAACCAAACCATACAAGGCATTATGTAATTATTGCAAGACTTGACTATAAAGATAATTAAACTCATATGAGATTTAGCAACATCTCTGCTTACTGTATGTGTGGCAGAAAAAAGTGCCCTGATCTCAATATTTGCTTTTTTAACTACACAAGAAGTGGGGATGTATCGCAACGTGTGAGTGGATATCAGGTTCTCTAATTTTGAAAAATATATAATGTTGAATCGCCATGAATGATGAGTATAGTGTGACCTGAGATTAGCTGCTGTCATATTTAAGTTGCCACTGATTCCCTGCTGGTTGCCGACAGCCACTCCCTGTGGTTTTGATGATGGCATCACACTCATTTCTCAGCCTTTCACATGAGCAGAAATTACACAGCTTCCATACCTAGCTCAACATACAATCTATTGGACGTGTGATAGGCAGGGAACAATTATCTGAGGATTTGTCCCCTGCTGTAGACAAGAGGCTCATCTCAATTGAATATTTCACCTCCTCCTTTCCCTCACTCGCATCCCTTCCTTGCGTCTTAGCTCCGCCTCCGTAAGATGCGAGCAAGAGACACGAGGAGGAGACGCGAGGACAGAGGAGTCCTCAGGTAGGCTATTAATTGGGATGTCCTCGTTCACTCAAACGTCACTTTCAAACGACGTCTGTTAATGACGTGTTACATTTGCACTGTATCCCCTCTCATCGGGCTTAACTGAAAAACCCCTTTGAACCGGCCCATTTGTTGTTAAATATTTATTTAAATCAATGAATCTTTCTCTTGCAGTCAAGGAATTCAATGTATGATGGTTGGTCCTGCTTTTGTGTTCCGTTTTGGTGTAAAATGTAGCCTACATTTAAATACAAATATAATTATAGTAATGTGAAAGCCTTTACTCTGAAAATGTGTGTCCTGTAGATCCCCACATTCACCACAAACCCACATTCAGGACTGTGAATTTTAAATAATTTAACTCCTGAATATCTTTAAACAAAACAATACAAATAATTGTTATTTATCAAGATCTAGCCATCTATGAAATAGCTTTCTTAATAGCTATGTTTTAGTGATCATTAAACATGACTTAAATTGTTAGTATAACCTTGAAATGAAGAAATGATTTGCACATAATAATTCCCTGTGTGCCGCTTTTCCACTCATTCTTCCAGTTCTCCGTTTTCCTGTGTTGAAATTGAAATCGACTAGCTGTGAAGGTGGGGGCGGGGCTTTTATACGCGAGTAGTGAAAACACTTCCGCGTAGTCTGCTCTCGTGTATCCCTCCATGGGGTCCTTCTCAGGTCGATTATTTTCATTTCCTCGGACCTCGGTATCACCGGAAGTTGATTTGTCTGCGCCATCTTGAGTAACGTCTCATGACGCTTATTTCTGTCGAAGGACAGAGGATCAAGGAGCGAGGAGCGATAATGGAGGAGCGATAATCGAGGAACCACCAGACCATCCTCCGATGAAATCCACAGATACTCGCCCCGCCCCCTTACTGTGTATCGCTCACTGATTGGACGATGCAATGCATGCACTGTTCTCATTCATAACACTCCGTTCGATGTCTCACTATGGGATGCGCCTCATCGCGGAGCAAACAGAAGCATCAATCTCATTACGCCAATCCTGATTGGCTGGAGATCTTGACGTCAGCGTCAGGGAAATCACCCCCTATAAGTAGCTTGCGCCACAACGCATGCGCCATTCAAAATAAGCACCTCTTCTCGCTTCACCATAGCAAGGAGGGCCGTCTGGTGAGACATCTCACTTCATGTTCTGAGAACTGGAGGTTACGTAAGTAACCTATAGTTCTCATTCATAACACTCCGTTCGATGTCTCACTATGGGAAATTGTAGCTCCCGTATTGCCAGACGAGCTTATCTCGAAAATCACCAAACCAACCAGAACTTAACAGGTAGAGCTCTGACTCAACCAGGTGCCCAGCACTGCTTGAGTCACACTGGGAGCAGAACGTCCAACCTGTTAGGAGGCAGACAAAAGTGAGCGGTTATGAATACAGAGTACTCCCCTTCGGTCTGTCTCTCAGTCCAAGGGTGTTTGTACGATGTACGGAAGCCGCGATAGCCCCGTTAAGACAACAGGGTATTCGCCTGGCGACCTACCTGGACGACTGGCTGCTTCTCGCACAGTCGGAGCAGGAGGCTGTTACGCAGACAAATGTCCTCGTAAAGCACCTGCTCAACCTTGGTTTCATAATAAACACAGAGAAGAGCATGTTGTGCCCCGCGCAGACTATACTCTTCCTGGGTTTACACCTGAACTCGGTGCCCTTTTCAGCTCGCTTGTCAGCGGATAGAGTGAAAGCTTTCAGAGCTTGTCTCGCTCTTTTCCGGCTGCGCAAACATGTTCTCTTCAGATCATGCCTGCGATTGCTGGGGCTCATGGCGTCAGCCATCCTGGTCGTACGACTGGGACGCTTACACATGAGGGAGTTTCAGCGCTGGGTGGCCGCCCTAAAACTAAACCCGTTAACACTAAACTATCACCCGAGAGTGATGGTTACTGTGAAATGCGTAATGGAACTGCGCCACTGGCTGCACCCGACTTTTCTAGTACGAGGTGTGCCTATGGGTGCTGTCCTTTCACGGAAAGTGGTCACCACGGACGCATGTCTGACAGGTTGGGGAGGTATTTATGAAGGTCGCCCGGTGAGGGGTCTCTGGAGCAGAGACTTCCAGCGGGCGCACATAAATTACCTGGAGCTTTTAGCGGTGTTTATCACCCTAAAACGCTTTCTGCCTTTCCTCAGGGGACATCACGTCCTCGTGAGGACAGACAATACGACCACAATATCGTATATTAACCGCCAAGGGGGGTTTGCGTTCTCTCCAGTTACACACACTGGCGCGCAAACTTATCCTATGGAGCGGTAGGCGTCTCCTCTCTCTGAGAGCGACGCACGTACCGGGAGTGAGGAACCTCGGGGCAGATCTACTGTCCAGAGGTATACCACTTTATGCAGACTGGACTCTACATCCAAGGATTGTGAGCCAGCTGTGGGTGCGTTACGGCAGAGCCGCGGTGGATCTGTTCGCATCGAAAGACAACGCTCAGTGTCAGCTGTTCTTTTCGATGCGCGATCTAAATGCACCGTTAGGCGTGGATGCACTCGCGCACAATTGGCCCCCGGGCCTTCTGTACGCGTTCCCACCCCTGGCTCTGATACCCCCAACTCTGGCCAGAGTGAGAGAGCAACGCCACACACTTATCCTGATAGCTCCGCACTGGCCAGCTATGTACTGGCTAGCGGAGATATATCAGCTGCTGTGTGGGCAGCCATGGCAGCTCCCACTACGCATACTGTCCCAAGCGGGGGGGGGCGATCTTTCACCCACACCCAGAGCGCTTGGCTCTATGGGCCTGGCCCGTGAGTGGTACAAATACAGTGTGACATGACGCTGACCCTGGCAGCTGCCAAGCGAGCCAGCGGCACTCATGCACTATCTGTACAGTTTTCATGCACCCAGTTTGCCCCAGGGCAAACAGAGTGTGGTTGAAGCCTGACCCTGCCTTTATCTTAAGGCGGTCGGTTCGGGTACCACATTTGACATTAAGGCATCCTCCCCGCCACTGTATTCCTCCGGGGAACAGCGGCCGGATTTGCCGTGTCCAGCCCGTGCTTCACGCACGTACAGGGACAGATCAAGGGTGCTTTGTCATAATGACCAACCCCTTGTGTCCTGGGCTAACCCTTATAAGGGCAAGCCTGTTACTAAGCAACGGCTCTCCCACTGGTCTGTGGAAGCAATTGCTTTGGGGCTCATACGAGTCAGACTTCGCAGGCACCCTCGGGTCCGCGAGCTCTTTCGACTCAGAGTCTGGCTGCATTCTGGACTCTGTCCAGGATGTCTCCCATCAAAGACATTGGTGCAGCGGCGAGCTGGTCCTCGCCGCTCACTTTTGTCTGCCTCCTAACAGGTTGGACGTTCTGCTCCCAGTGTGACTCAAGCAGTGCTGGGCACCTGGTTGAGTCAGAGCTCTACCTGTTAAGTTCTGGTTGGTTTGGTGATTTTCGAGATAAGCTCGTCTGGCAATACGGGAGCTACAATTTCCCATAGTGAGACATCGAACGGAGTGTTATGAATGAGAACTATAGGTTACTTACGTAACCTCCAGTTCTCAGAACATGAAGTGAGATGTCTCACCAGACGGCCCTCCTTGCTATGGTGAAGCGAGAAGAGGTGCTTATTTTGAATGGCGCATGCGTTGTGGCGCAAGCTACTTATAGGGGGTGATTTCCCTGATGCTGACGTCAAGATCTCCAGCCAATCAGGATTGGCGTAATGAGATTGATGCTTCTGTTTGCTCCGCGATGAGGCGCATCCCATAGTGAGACATCGAACGGAGTGTTACTCTAAGTAAGTAACCTATAGATCTGATGCTTCTTGACATGAGAGCAGTTTCCCAGCGGAGTGAAGAAGATACATGAAACTCACGAGAGTCACTCTTCAGTTTATACTGTGTTTTGTTTCAATTCATGTATCATTTAGTTTCAAATATGTGATATATCTGAACAACAAAGTGGTCAAAAAACGTTTTATTCATTTATTGGAAACATTTTCATGATCGCTTTTTTCGTTTATACATTTTAAGAATGGCGTTTATCTTTTTTGAGAATGAGTTCTTATTTCATTTAATGTATTTGGGTCTACAACAGATGATACAAATGTTTGTGTCAGTAAATGTGTACTAACAGAGGCGGGGGTGTTTGTGAAAAATAACGGGGACAGAGCTGGCTGCTGTCAGACGATCAGCTGTGCGGCATCATCACAAACGGACGTCGCTTCACGTCCGGAAGAAAGGACGTCCCATTGCTCTTAAAACTCATTTCCCTGCTACTCGTGGTTTCCTTGCGTCTCTCTATGCTTCCCTGGTGGGAGGGACTAAACGCAGGGAAACGACGCAAGTGAGGGACGCAAGGATTCCATTTAATCGACCTGAGAAGGACCCATGGTGTATCCTCCCTTTCGTCTCCTCCCTCACCCCTCACCCCTCACCCCTCACCCCTCCTCCCTCACCCCTCCTCGACTCCTCCGTGTGCGTTTCAAGTATTGGGACGTCCTTCAACATGGCGTGTCTTGATCGATTTCCGGGTCAAGTCCCGGAGGAGGGGAAGAGAGGAGTTGAGGAGGGGTATTGAGATTAACCTATAGGTTCCCTCATCTTTCTTTAGACCTTATTAAATGAAGGAAGTAAGTCATCAAAGGGGATTAAGTTCACCGTGACATCCTTGAGCTAAACATTTCAGAGAGATGGAGCTGACCGTTTATTTCCCACAGGACACAAACCAACCACCACGTTCCACATGTAATGTTCAACTCTGCATTTCACAAATCCATTATTGAAATCTGGCTTAATCTGGTATGATTTTTGCCTTTCAAAGGTTCCTTGCGAGCAAGGCATGTGTGTTTTTCAGACCGAGGCGAGAGAACACTGCTTTCTATCAAAGAGACAACTAAAAAGACGAAGAAAATTGTCTGTGACCCTTGCCTTTTCAGACTAACTAAACCCTTTCAAGTACTGCTCTCTGGGGCTTCACAGTGCATTTATAACCAAAATGCCATCATCTTTCTTACAAGACTAGCTTAATGTGTGCTTGACTTCTACAGAGGTTCAATCATGTATTGTGAAGCAAGTGCAGCAATTGTATTAGCCGAATACAAGTAATTGCTATTTTGATTCACCTAAAATATTTAATGAAAACATTTTTATAAAATCATTTCTCTTTAGTGCTAAATTTACCACCATTATGGTTACGCTGATACCACCAAAATTAATCCAGATACATCATGCTGTATTGCAAACAACGTTACGAAGAACATATTGCCATTCAGGGTTCTCAAAATCTGTATTATGGGACTTGCAGACTTGACAGATAAAAGCTGTCAATTTCAAATGCATGGACTAAAAGGCAAAGCTACACTTAAAGCAAATCTCTAGCAATTACATATTTGAAATTATGTTCCTGATTAATGCATCATATTTCCAGTAACTTCCCCAAAGTACATCAAATGAAGGCAGAAGTCTCATATGTCTCATTTGCAAACCATAATTTTAAAGCGACGTCTCTATCTAACTGGTGTTTCTTTTTCTTTTCTCCAGACCATCTCTGTTTCTGTATCAGTCCTAACACTGAGCTGCATTGCCCAGGACCGTTGGTATGCTATCTGCCACCCTCTGATGTTCAAGAGCACAGCCAAGAGGGCTCGCAAGAGTATTGTTGTCATCTGGGTTGTGTCGTGCATCATCATGATCCCTCAGGCTATAGTGATGGAGTGCAGCAGCCTGCTGCCAGAACTAACAAACAAGACCAGCCTGTTCACAGTGTGTGATGAACATTGGGGAGGTGAGTTTTCACAAATCCTCCTCAAACACTTGGAAATTGTGCCAAATTGCTCACTTGTTGCCAGAGCCATAAATTAATCTAAAACCAAATGAAATACCAAAAGGATGACTCCCACTCACATTTTCTTTTTGTTTTTCAAAGCGATTCTTAAGAGAGCATTATTTACTCCCTGTGCTGAAATAAGTATACGTGTCTGACACCATTTAGCTGCCCCTTTATGCTTTAATTACACTGAACAAAAATATAAACGCAACACTTTTGTTTTTGCTCCCATTTCTCATGAGATGAACTCAAAGATCTAAAACATTTTCTATATACACAAAATAACCATTTCTCTCAAATATTGTTCACAAATCTGAAAGAATCTGTGATAGTGAGCACTTCTCCTTTGCTGAGATAATCCTTCCCACCTCACAGGTGTGGCATATCAAGATGCTGATTAGACAGCATGATTATTGCACAGGTGTGCCTTAGGCTGGCCACAATAAGCTAGTGAATGAGCGCTTCCCCAGCCTATGCAGAGGTCTTCACTTTACCTGAATTTGTTCTGATTGATCGTATCTCAATGCATCTGTACACATTCACACCACCTGTACCTAGAGTTGTCCACTTTTGGTCAGATTATAAAAAGAAGCATTGCTTCTCTGAACAAGGCCTCAGACACCTCCAAACTGCTTCTAATCGGCTGTCAGATCCAGTATTTATTCAGGGCAGCTCACCTCCACTTTGTTACATTTTGCATAAATGACCTTTCAGACTACCTGTTGCCAGTGTCCTGCTGTCCGTCTGATTAGCAACCTTTCCTGCCTCAGTGCCTTTGTACGTTTAGCCTGATTTCACTGCCTGCCAGTTGCCAAATGTTCTTCTGTTTAATGACTTTCGTATTACGTAAATGCCTTTAACTCAACCAACCATGTGACTGTGTCTACATCTGGGACATGTTGCCAGCTACCAGACTTGTGCCAGCGGGAGATAAATGTATTCCCTCTTATCTTTGGCCAAGGAAGTGTCAGTTTAAATTAAAGTGATATCACTGTATCAGCTAGAAGTGTTTTATACAGATGTCATATTTTGTTATTGTCGAACAATGGTCTTGTCTGTGCAAACATGACAGTGGGAGCTGCCTTTTTTTGTTCGTTAGATTTTAGATTGAAGGTTTTCTTCTTATATGTTGATCCTCCATGCTTTGTATTTCTTCAAGAGCTCTTTAGTCTCATGGAGTCATCAATGTGTATAATAGGACTGACAAGTTTGCTCACAGTTATTATTAAGTGATGCCTCAGATGAACCAACTGTCAGACTTGCTGGGGCTTTTGACATATTTGCTGTTTAGTTTGAAACTAAGCTACTGCCTGTCTGCCTTTTTTCCCCTACTCCCCCCCCCCCCTACCCGACTTGTAAAGCGACCTTGGGTTTCCTGAAAGGCGCTATAAAAATATTATTTATTATTATTATTATTATTACTGACAGTCATACAGGTCTTAATAATCATACTACTGCTCTATGAAATGATATAGGACATATTGATGTGAAACACAGAGATAAGAGCTGTCTTTAACCATCACTGTGAAATAGAGCAAGCTTCTGGTGTGTGATTTTGACCTCAGAAGATAAAGTACTTCACACCTGAAATCGTCACACAGACAACGCCTGGTTGAGGACATTGTCCTTGATAGAGTCTCAAAAGTCCAGAACAAGTCACAGGAGACTGAAATGCCAAATGGAAAAAACTGGAAATAAAGTTTGATGCAAAAATATAAAGATTTAGCAAAGTAAAGCTGGTACACTTGTCACAAAGTTTCTTAGCCAAGTTACAATACGATACATAATGACTTGCTGTTATCAAGATAAGGCATATCCAGCTGCCTGAAGCAGTATTAAGAATGTTATGTATATATTTATTGTATATATACATGTCTGTGATTTATCTTTAATCTATAAGGCAAATGGTAAATCAGCACACACTGTATTTAATAGACTTTGACCTGACAGAGTCAATGTGATTTCCTTTATTATTTTCTTATGAATTTAATTTTACAATAAAGCTATGTTTAAATATGTCGAAATCGATGGACTTCACATTCAGAAATATGGAGAGATTTTGGGAGAGGGTTAACATTGAGAGCGTTTGAGCACATTTTAGAAAAGTTGTATCAAGGTCTGCTTCATCTTCTGAGTGTAAAAAGGAGAACATTGACAATGAACTTCTCGTTTTATCAGTTTTTAACAGCTTTAAATATTATAAGCCCACCTGTTCAAACCGCAAAGTGCTTTCAGAACTTGGAAAAACGGTCAAAAAATACTTCGGGAGAGGAAAATTGTGTTTGTGTAGCAGTTCTGTCTTGTATTTATTTGTTTGAGGATTTACACCCAAGCTGCTCCAACTTAAACTATGAGGTATTGGTTATTTCCTTTTCTCTTGTAAGTGAAACATGAATTTTAAATCTGATTGGATATGACAGCTGAAGTGGTCCTTTCTGAAGAAATGTCAGAGACTTATTGTGCAAAAAAAAAGACTGCTTATCTAGTTTGTTAAATTTATTAAAGATTGACAGGCATGGCAACAATTGAGGGTGTGAGTCCTCGCTAGGTCGCTCTCCAGAAAGTTTCCAATGTTATTAAGATGATGTTTTTCATCTTTCAACAGCTGAGATCTACCCAAAGGTCTACCACACCTGTTTCTTCATCGTCACATACTTTGCACCCTTATGTCTTATGGTCTTGGCATACATCCAGATATGTCATAAGCTGTGGTGTCCACAGGTTAGCATTACAGAGATGTATTTGATTAATGTCGAAACATCAGTGCATTAGTTCTTCCAAGGCCAAGTTAACACCGCCTAATGTATGCACATATTAAATCAACAGATTCCTGGGAGCACATCAGTGCTTCAGAAGAAGTGGAGATCCATCCAGTGCTCAGCTTCGGCTTCGGTGTCTGGAGAGCCCGTGAGAGTGAGGACCAGCACGGTTTGTGCTGAGATCAAACAGGTGCGAGCCCGACGGAAGACGGCTCGCATGCTGATTGTGGTGCTCTTTGTTTTCGCCCTGTGCTACCTGCCAATCAGCGTGCTGAATGTCATGAAAAGGTAAACATATCTGCTGCTTCAATCATCAAAGCCATTCAAAAATAGACACTGTGATAAACCATGGGCTCCCAATTTGCATTTCTTTTTTAACTGCAGGAGTTCACCTTGTTAGATGGTTTATTAAAGAAAAAAGAGTGATACAGTATATTTACTGGTGAAATGTTGCTTGTTTTCTGCAATTCCAAAAAGTTATTAAGAGTGTAACTAAAAGCATGCAAACCAGATCTTTAACTGATAAATTACTTCTTTACCTGCAGAGTCTTTGGGACTTTCAAAAAAACAAACGACAGAGAGACAGTGTACGCATGGTTCACTTTCTCCCATTGGCTCATATATGCTAACAGTGCAGCAAATCCCATCATCTACAATTTCCTCAGTGGTAAGTTTGTAACCTCCTCATCACTGACATCAGTTGTGTAGGTTTGTTACTTCCCTCTAGTGGACAGTGTGCTAACAACATTACAGCTAATTGGTTTGAATTGTTCTCTGATAAGAAGTCATGTATATGCAAACATTAATCTCAGAAAAATATGCATTTATCACCCAAAAATCTAAAATGTATCGTTCTTTTTTTACGGTGGCTGGCAAGGGCAAATGCTCTACGGCAGCCCAAAACACTTATATTAGGAGAAACGTGCTGCACTTAAAAAACTATGCGAAATACAAATGTGCAAAAACAAATGCGAATGAAGAAACATATTCACCAACTTGACAACACATGTGCAGCGTTTACCAAAAGCGCTGCAAATATCTGGAAAAAGCTTAAAACACAACCAGGGGACACTAAAAAGTGATGCACACAGCTGGGAACGGAGCACATGTATTTTACTTCGTTTTTCAACAATTTCAGCATTTTTATATTTGCAGTGTTTTTTTACTTGCAGCATTCTGTTCCTGCACTGTTTTTTCCTGCGCTGCCCATATAATGTCAAGTTGGTGAAGATGTTTTTTCATTTGCATGTGTTTTGGCACTTTTGTTAATTTATATTTGCATCGTTTCTGAGGCTGCAGCGTGCTTCTCTTAATGGAAATGTTTTGGGCCATTGTTGCGCATTTGCATCTGTCAGCCTCTGTACTTTTTTCCTCAAAATGACATATGCATCTCTAAAATGCCTTTTTTTCATGCAAGGCGTACAAAACGATCAAACTGAATGGTTTCTGTTTGGATTTCATCTTTTTAACTAGGGAAGTTCCGCGGGGAGTTCAAGGCTGCTTTTTCGTGCAAGGGTCAAAATCGAGCACAGAGGACGAGGCCCATAGCGAGCACAGACAGCCGGAAGTCACTGTCAACGCAAGTCAACAACATGGACAATGTGTCACGCATATCAGATCAGATAGTGTAGTCTTGTGGTCCAGGTGAGAAGTTCTCCTGACTCATTCATCCTCAAGGCATACGTTGAATTGCTTGAACCTTGTTAAAAAAACAGACAGACACTTGAATGGGAAAGAATGCTTCACAAATGAATGTTTTGTGTTTGTTTCACAAGGACAATAAGGAGTTTCAGAGAACTGAGCAGTGCTTTCTGAAAGCTTCTCCCTTTGTTTACATAATGACAAACACAGTAAGGACAAGGCTATCATTTGTAATTCACAGAAAGGACACCATTTTAATGTTTAATATTTAAAAGTGCAATATGTATTGGTATTAGGTATTACAATACAGGGCTAGATGGTTATTATGCCCAGTAGGTGGAGTGAACATATTACATTGTCATTACCTCAAAACTCCTCATATTCTGTTTATATTGTTAGTTCATTTTTAAATGTTTGAAGCAACATTATGGCCATATCTTGCTCATTGCACCTTCAAAAACTCATCCCGAATGTTGTTTTTATAATAATTGCACATGGATAGTATTACAGGGTATATATTTATTTCATATTTATGTATTTATTGGTTGCCTCTTTTTTATACAACATCGGCAGAGGAAGTGCTATAGAGAAGTCTTGAATTGAATCTTTGCATAAAAAGCATGGATGTTTTGTCAAACCTCCAAGATGATTCTGCATATGTTCCTCATGAAGTATGCATTAACTTTTCCCGGTGGACCTCATTATTTCACTTTTCACACATTATTTAGTTTTTTTACACCATCAAAAAGTGGACATTTGTGAGTTTCTAAACAAAAGTTTTAAAAGAAAACAGTATTTTCAAAGGTTTCTTTGTGAATGCACTTAAATGCTTCTGTGGTTAACGAACAAAGTTAACAAAGAGATTCAGAGCCAGAGAGAAAAATAAGTATTTTTTATACTTATACAAAAACAACTTTTAAATATACACAACCAAGGACCGTCCTGAAGTGTGATTAAGATATATGTTCAGTGATAGACATCATTAACCATGTGCATTGACTAATGGCTACTAATCAAGCCTTGTCAACAAAAAAGCAACACATGAATTTGTTGCCATTAATGCTGATCTTTCACTGTCTCAAATACCATAGTAAATCTTGGTCTTCTCAATAACTACGACTGACCATCTCCTTTTTTAATCACCTAGAAGCCCAGTACACATAGTCTTACCTGCCCCGGTAATAAGGCAGTACAAATACATTTTATTTTATATCTCAGATATTATTATTTATATGCTGAAGAACCAGCACCTTACCGTGGTAGAGAGGTTTGTGTGCCCTGATGAACCTGTGGGCTGTGTTGTCTGGAACCTTGTGTTCCTGGTAGGGTCTCCCATGGCAAATTGGTCTCAGGCAAGGGGTCAGACTAAGATTGGTTCAAAAGACCTCATGAAAGACGACACAGGAAGTGAGGATACCCGGTCCGGAGGAAGACCGGGGTCCCCTTCTGGAGCCAGGCCCAGAAGGAGGACTCGTCGGTGAGCGTCTGGTGGCCGGGCTTGCCACGGAGCCCGGCCGGGCATAGCCCGAAAAGGCAACGTGGGAAACACCTCCACTTCTCCGTCCCGCGGGCCCACCACCTACGGGAAACAGCGATGGGGTCGGGTGCGCTGCCAGTGAAAGCAGAGGGTCTCGACGGACCAGACCTGGGCGACAGAAGCTGGCTTTGGGGACGTGGAACGTCACCTCTCTGGGGGGGAAGGAGCCGGAGCTTGTGCGGGAGGTGGAGCGTTACCAATTGGATCTGGTTGGGCTCACCTCTACGCACAGCGTCGGCTCTGGAACCTTACTTCTGGAAAGGGGTTGGACTCTATTCTTCTCCGGAGTTGCTCAAGGTGTGAGGTGCCGGGCGGGTGTGGGGATTCCAGAGGTGTGGACTCGAGGCACCAATTTGATGACTTTGGACTCGACTTGACAAAATCACAAAACACTTGCGACTCGACTTGGACTTGAACACCAATGACTCGGTACTTGACATGGACTTGAGCCTTCTGACTTGAGGTGAGTTGATCATTTAATTCAGAGGTCTCCAACACGCCGATCGCGAGATGCAGCTAGAAGAGCAGACTCCCGTCGGGGAGAGCAGAATCTCCAGCCGTGAATCCATGCAGGCAGGGGCGGGGGCTTTATTTAGCTGAGCCACCATGCGGCCAATAATATACGAGGACACACTAGGATCATACCATTATGTGAAAGAACGGTGGGGGGCAGACGCTCCAAAGACAGCAGGTGTAGTGGTACAGGCCAGCTACACAGAGCCACGGGGAGACGGGGAGCCGGATTGAAATACAAGCGCGTCGGAAAAAGTCAAGAAATTAGCGAAAACCGAAAAAAGAAGCAGCATCTGGCTGCATTTCAATGATATTGGAGAAAGCAAAGCTGAGTGCAGGATTTGTAAAATGAAAATAACCTTCAGAGCAGGGTTTTTGGTAACCACTCAGGATTTATTGTCAGAGGTGGAAGAAGTTCAGATCTTGTACTTGAGTAAAGTACCAGTGTAGGAATACTCGGTTACAATCAAAAGTCCGGCATTCAAAATGCTACAAGTAAAAGGGCAAAAGTATTAGCATCAAAATATAGTTAAAGTACCACCTGAGGGATCTAGATGCAGGTGTTCTTTTCCCCATAGCCTCGCTGCACATTATCCCTTGCATAGAGATATATTGTGGGTCCCTCATAACATGTTGTACACAGTGGAAATAAACATTCTGGTCACCTTAACATCAGGGATCTTATACATTAAACTTATGAATCAAACCGTCACGGTAGCCTTACCTTACTGATCCCTCTTAAATTAGAAAAAAACACGTTACTTTACCAGCAGAGAGAAAATGGATTATTAAATGATTAATGTGACTAATAAAGAGCAGTTTGATTATTAAGTATTATTCTGTTGATCGATGTCATTACATTTGTTGAAAAGCACATAATGACTTGTTTATGACTCGTTTTGTCAAAGTTTAGGACTTGGACTTGACTTGAACTTGCCCATCCTGACTTGAGACTTGACTCGGACTTGAGCGCAAAGACTTGAGACTTGACTCGGACTTGAGCGCAAAGACTTGAGACTTGACTCGAACTTGCAAAACAATGACTTGGTCCCACCTCTGGGGGATACTCGCAAGTCCCCGGTTGGGTGCTTCGTAGTTGGAGTTTACCCCAGTGGACGAGAGGGTCGCCTGCCTACGCCTGCGGGTTATGGGGGGGAAAACTCTGACTGTTGTGTGTGCTTATACACCAAACAGCAGTTCAGAGTATACAGCCTTCTTGGAGACCCTGGAAAGAGTCCTGTATGGGGCTCCTGAAGGGGACTCTTTAATCTTGCTGGGAGACTTCAACGCACATGTGGGCAATGATGGAGACACTTGGAGGAGCGTGATTGGGAGGAACGGCCCCCCTGATCTGAACCGGAGTGGTGGTTTGTTACTGGACTTCTGTGCTAGTCATGGATTGGCCATAACAAACACCATGTTCGAACATAAGGATGCTCATAAGTGTATGTGGCACCAGAGCACCCTAGGCAGAAGGTCCATGATCGATTTCGTTATCGTATCATCGGACCTGAGGCCGTATGTTTTGGACACTCGGGTAAAGGGAGGGGCGGAGTTGTCAACTGATCACCGTCTGGTGGTGAGTTGGGTCGAGTGGCGGGGGAAGCCTCTGGACAAACCTGGTAAGCCCAAACGTGTAGTTCGGGTGAACTGGGAACGTCTGGAGGAGGCCCAAGTTCAGGAGGCCTTCAACTCACACCTCCGGCGGAGCTTTTCGGGCATTCCTGTGGAGGTTGGGGACATTGAACCAGAGTGGGCGGTGTTCAAAGCCTCTATTGCCGAAGCCGCGGCGGGGAGCTGTGGTCTCAAGGTCTTAGGTGCCTCAAGGGGCGGTAACCCTCGAACCTCCTGGTGGACACCGGTGGTCAGGGAAGCCGTCCGACTGAAGAAGGAGGCCTTCAGGGATTTGTTATCCCGGGGGACTCCCGAGGCAGTTGTAAGGTACCGACAGGCCCGAAGGGCAGCAGCCTCAGCCAAAAAGGGGTGATCAGAGGGTGTGTGCCAATTACAGAGGCATCACACTACTCAGCCTCCCCGGGAAAGTTTACTCTATAAGGTACTCGAAAGGAGGGTCAGGCCGATTGTGGAACCTCAGATTGAGGGGGAACAATGCGGATTTCGTCCTGGTCGTGGAACGACAGATCAGCTTTTTACTCTCGCAAGGATCCTGGAGGGGGCCTGGGAGTATGCTTATCCGGTCTACATGTGGTTTGTAGACTTGGAGAAGGCGTAGTTCCCAGGGAGTTACTGTGGGAGGTGCTGCAGGAGTATGGGGTGAGGGGGTCTCTACCCAGGGCCATCCAATCTCTGTACTCCCAAAGCGAGAGCTGTGTCCGGATCCTCGGCAGTAAGTCTGACCCATTTCCGGTGAGGGTTGGCCTCCGCCAGGGCTGCGCTTTGTCACCAATCCTGTTTGTAATATACTGTACATGGATAGGATTTCGAGGCGTAGTCATGGGGGAGGGGGTCTGCAGTTCGGTGGACTAAGGATTGCACCACTGCTTTTTGCAGATGATGTGGTTCTAATGGCTTCATCGGTCTGCGACCTTCAGCACTCACTGGATCGGTTCGCAACCGAGTGTGAAGCGGCTGGGATGAGGATCAGCACCTCCATGGTTCTCAGCAGGAAACCGATGGACTGTCCACTCCAAGTAGGGAATGAGTCCTTACCCCAAGTGAAGGAGTTCAAGTATCTCGGGGTCTTGTTCTCGAGTGAAGGAACAATGGAGCGTGAGATGGGCCGGAGAATCGGAGCAGCGGGAGCGGTACTGCAGTCGCTTTACCGCACCGTTGCGACGAAAAGAGAGCTGAGCCAGAAGGAAAAGCCCTCTGTCGAAAGGAGCCAGTTGAGGTGATTCGGGCACCTAGTAAGGATGCCACCTGGGCGCCTCCCACGTGTTCCAGGCACGTCCAGCTGGGAAGAGACCAAGGGGTAGACCTAGGACCAGGTGGAGGGATTATATCTCTTCGCTGGCCTGGGAGCGCCTTGGGATCCCCCAGTCAGAGCTGGTTGATGTGGCCAGGGAAAAGAAAGTTTGGGAATCTCTGCTGGAACTGCTACCCCCGCGACCCGACCACGGATAAGCGGGAGAAGATGGATGGATGGATGGATCTCCACCAAGATGAATCTTGTTCACCCAAGGAATGGGCAACTTTTCAAACTCAAGAATGTCTCTTAATAATTATTGCTTTAGGAAGGACAGTGCAACTTTTACAATTTCTGCTTTCCTCAGGCTCTTTGAAGCATACTGAATAGTTTCACGAAAAGATAAAAGCACACTCTTCCTGTGAAAAATAATCCTGAGCAAAATATTATTCTCTTGAATATTTACAAACAGCACATACTGTAATTGTTAAATGTGATCGCAGCTAGTATGCCAGCATTTGGTTGCAATTTAAAACAATATTTGCAACAGAGGTACCCATGATCAATGTGTTCTGTCTGTGCCCTCAAACACTAAACCTCACACTCTGATGCACGCATGGACCTGAGGTGTTTGTGGGGCAGAAATAACAAATAAAAAACAGTGAGACAAAGAATATTAAACCAGCTTATGCACACTGTTTCATGCACATTTAATAACCTAAACTTTTCTACCAAGACACTTTTTCCTCAGGGCATATCCATGAGAAATAGGGTGGGTGAATAGAATTCTAATGCACCTGTTCAAATGGGTAAAGCTTGTGGTCTTAGAATATAGATCGAAAAACTTGCAGCTATTCAAATACCCCACATTTAGGCAAATAAATGCAAATGTGAAAAACTTAATCGTCTTTGCATTCAGCAAAGCGCCACTGTTACTTCTGCTCATAGAGGCAAAAAGTGAAAAGCAAAATCTATCAAAGCTTATATAGTTTATGTGGAAATCTCTTGGCGAATCTAGCAAATCAAAGATTTCAACCATTCAAAGGCTTTATTGTCAGATGCACAATGGTTACAGCGTAGTTGTTGGCAATGAAAATCTTAAGTCTCTCAAAAAAAGACATCCCCCCCTTAGAGCAGGGGTGTCAAACTCAATTTCATCGCGGGCCACATTCGCATAAAGGTTGCACTCAAAGGGCCGGTTGTAACTATATAAATACATAATATATATATAAAATAATGTATTATATTACATTATTGCCTCTGAATTGGGTTATTATTGGATAGGATAATAACTTAGTAATTAACTACGTCTGAAAGCAGAAGTCCAGGGCAAATAATTGCAAGTCTCTTCAGTGCGCATGTCACAAAACGAGATGCATTGTGGGACATGTAGTTTATGGGCAACCTGCTTCTGTAAAGTGGCATGTAACCGTATAATAAACGTATTATATTCTTTGCAAGCTCTTGCGGGGCCACATAAAATGAAGTCGCGGGCCGGATTTGACCCCCGGGCCTTGAGTTTGAGACCCCTGCCTTAGAGCCTCCTGCGTATTCAGGAAATATCTCAGATGTGTGCCCTCTAGTGGAGGTATTTAAAGAGATTATTGTGGCAAACAGTATCGCAATGCATTTTCTCCCATTGCTCAGTCAATCATTCTCAAGACATTTTACAACATCTTCCACTCCAAATCTATACATTGTAATTGCATTAAAATCTAACTTTTTCACACATTTTGTAAAGTAAATGTGGATTTTGTAATGGATTTCAATACAAAATGATTTCTGATGGTTTTGCATTTCCGTTTCGGACCCTACTTCTGTTTTTTTCCTCAAAAAGTATGCTGTATCATTTTGTATATTTAGAAATAATTACATTTGTGAATATGTTTATATCTGTTAAGCTAATTTAACTTAATTTAATGGTGGCTGCTGATAAGACATGTCTTTTGATTTGATATACTTTTCACAGGCAAATGCAGTTCATAAGAAACTAATTACAAATCCCTAAGATTACTCTGTGCAATAGCATCATTTAAGATCCTTCACCCCATATTGTCATGATCCTTTACTCCCAGAATGCCATTTTTGATCTTTTTAACAAGGTTTAAAATGTCATACAATCAATACATTTGCCTTAGAATTTGGCGTAAAACAAAACCAAACATAATAAGTGAAAAATAAGAAACAAGTACTGCAAAAGTCACACATAAGAAGTAAAAAGAATATCAAATGTAACATAGAAAAATGTAAAATATTTCTGTTATCAAAATGGATGGAATGTTAAAAATATTCACCAAGGAATGTGAAAATGTTTACAGTATGAAGTGTAAAGAATATGTGCATAGATAATACCTTAAAAAAATACATCAACGTAATGCATTTTTAGGACATTGTGAACAATGGGCAGTGTTCTGGTGGTGTGGGGTTTTGGTCTAGATGGACTATAAACTGAATTTAAGACATTGAAAGGATGTTTACAATTAGTTTTTGTGACGTTCAATGAATGTATTCAGGTATATGTATTTATTTACTTATTTGTGTATTAATCACTTTTTATTGTGAATCTCATCATGTGTCCTTAGCTTGACCTTTTGAGACATTTGTAGTATCTTGACTTGATGTTTCTGTCTGAGTGAGCTTATAAAGTGTATTAATAAGTTGTTTACTCCTCATCGTGTCTTTATCCCTACACATCTTTTATCAATAAAGTCTATATTGTACTACAATGTTTATTTTCTGTTGTCTCTAACCAATTTCCCCCTGAAATTAATAGTGTATTCCAGATTCTGATTATCTTTGGGTTACATTTCTTAAAAAAACACTTATAACAACAAACAGAAATACACATGCAACGGCATTTGTATTGAATTGCAACGGTACACCAGACTCTAGATAGTAATAGAGTAATGTTGCTCCATGTGCTGTAATTACTGTATGCAATTATCTGTTATATCTTTACCACTTAAGAGGCAGCAAAAGCAAGCAGTCAACACACATATATATATATATATATTAGGGCTGTCAAACGATTACAATTTTTAATCAGATTAATCACAGCTTAAACATTAATTAATCATGATTAATCACCATTCGAACTATGTCCAAAATATGCCATTTATTTATGTATATTGTTGTGGTGGGAATGGAAAGATAAATGAAAGAAGGCGGATATATCCATTTAACATACAGTATCTATGTTTATTATAACATTTGTCTGCGTGTCAAAATGAAAGACAGCCCACACACCTATCAATCATCAAACCGTGGGGTCTTAATTCATTACGTGTTGATTTCTATCAACGGGGGAGTACTTCAGGAAAGTCGACAGAGGGGGGGGGGGGGCGGCGGCGGCTAGTGGAGTACTTTGTGACCAGAGAGTGTGAACGTTGTGATCAGCTGTTTTAGCGCAGTTCTCCAGTGAAGGGGAGGAGTCTCCCTCCGCATCCGGTTGGCGTAGTTTTGGCACAATTCCGTTGTACAGACCGACGTTAACAGCAGCCCTGTCTGTGCACACGGAGACCGACTCTGTCGTCCGGTGATCTAACCGCCTTCCGGAAAAGCTTCACAAGTACGTCGGTACGTAAATGCGCTTTGTGACACAAGTGACGGTACGCATTTCAGAGAGATTACGCACATAACCTGCGTACCAGTTATGTGCACCCCTGTACTACAGCAAAAGTATTCTCCGTCGGGACTTCCTGCAACAACACCACGCCGTTATCAAAGATGTTCTATTGAGAAGACGATCACTACGTGACAAACGTTTTCAAAACCGTGGCTACTGAAATCAATCTTACTAACTGCTGTCTGTGCAATTTACTCCGCGCGAGTTGGCAGACTTTATTTTGCTTACTTTAACATCATTTTTCATGGTGGGGCTAAGCCATTTCTTGGTATGGGTGTAGCCTACCCCAGCCATACCCTGGCGCTGCCACTGGGGCCATTCTGCACATGCGTTAAATGCGTTACATATTTTAACGCAATTAATTCAAAAAATTAATTACCACCGTTAACGCGATAATTTTGACAGCACTAATATATATATTGAGGAGTGAGAACCAGAGGGGCGTAAGTGACATTTTGGTCAAAAATGAGTTATATATATCAAATGAAAGCTCTCAATGAGCTCTTTCTACTGCCAAAAGGGTGCATGTGAATTCAAAACCAATCCAGAGTTATTCATCAAAAACCAAAAGACCTAACACAGAACACACTGAACTATTTGGGGCCAAAAGGACGTAAGTGCACTTACGCCCTTTTGGCCCTGAGAAATGTATTATGGGTAAAGCCTTTGGATAGCACTTGAGTCAAAATGGCTGACACAGCAAGCTAGGTCAACCATGAGAAGAAAGCTTTTCACTGCTGAAGAAGTGTTACTAAGCTTATTTCAAGATGCAGAAGAGCTTGATGAAGAGAATGAAATAATCCAGGATTCAAAGTCAATGCTGAGTGACAAAGGAAACTTAGTTTCTACAGATCCATCTTCAACAGAGAATTCAACTCATCATGTTCCAGTATCTGTCAACTCTTTCAGGTACTGAGCATGTGGTGCTGTACTCTGACACATGTGGTGGGCAGAACAGGAATGCTGGTTTTAGTGCCATATGTCTCCATGCAGTTAAAACCTTGCCCATCTCCATTATTGATCATACATTCATGGAGTGTGCACAGCAAGATGGAATGTGACAGTGTTCATGCAGCCATTGAGACCGACAGAAAAAAAGGGCCTTTGTACAGTTCGGAGGGGTACTACACTCTTGTGAGGATGGCAAGGAGGAACAGGCCATAGAAGGTGATTGAGCTTGGGTACAGTGACTTTCTGGATTTCAAGTTCTTCTCACAACACTAGGGCTGCTCAATTATGGCAAAAATCATAATCACGATTATTTTGGTCTCGCTGCGGGGAAACTGTGGACCTCGTTGCAAGCCAAAATCGTAATCGAGATTAAAATACGATTAATTGCACAGCCCTACAACACACGGTCCGAAACAGAACCAAAGACACAGAGGGACAAACAGTTTGTTGGCAGAAAATGAAATGGCAAAAACAAAAGAGGATCACAAAATCAGGATCAGAATCACAATCAGGATCAGGATCACAATCAGGATCAGAATCACAATCAGGATCAGGATCACAATCAGGATCACAAAAGAGGATCCGAAAAGGATTCAGTTCAAATATGAGCTGTCCGACCAAACTGCAAGTTGGAAAGCAGGAGACCAGAGGTGCTCATGCAATTGAACCAAAGAAGATGCACACAGGTCCACCTGGGATCACTGCTGTGAAAAAGAAAGACGTACTCGCACAAATGGGAGTATCCCTCACTCCTATGTAGGCAGAGTAGGCTAGTTTGTCGTTTTAAATCAATCTGAAACTTACATGATCTGCATGAAATATGCTGTTGTCGTATATAATTATATTGCTATATTTGACATTCCCAATGTTCTAAAGTAGCTTTTGATTTGCCAAACAGTTATTAGGCCAGGTTTAATGTAATTTATTGTTATTCAGTGAACTAATGTGATATTGATATGTTATATGATCACAATGGACTCTGTAGCCTATTTTCAATCCGTTATTTGGGGAAATGGCTAAATAATTAACTATTTGGCAAAATGGTTATTAATGTTTTTGTTTTTTTTAAATAATTACATTCAATGAACTACTATGATATAAGGATATTTTCATATAATATTGTTATTATAACAATTGATTACTGTTACTTTTGACCTCATTAATGTAAAGCCTTTTTCCTATATTTATCAGATACGCCCTTTTTTTAGTTCATATGATATAAAATCTTAGTTCCAAAAAGGCGCATGTGACTTTATTCCAAATTAAAAAAAAATAGAAGAATATTTTTTTCAATGAAAGTCAAAATATTGTTCATTAAGTATATTGTCATCCACATGTTTATGAAGTTTTCATATTAAAGATTGAATTTAATAAACAAAGTCAGGATAAAGTATGGTCATTTTTTGTTTTGGCTCTCCTGTAAAGTTGGTCAAATGTCACTTACGCCCCTCTGGTTCTCACCCCTCGATATATATATATATATATATATATATATATTGTTACCCTTTAAGTTGTTATCATAATGTATTACCAGTCATGTATGTACACATCCAGCAGACCTAGAGAAACATTAGCATTCATAAAGTTTTGTTTGGTGTAACTAATGGCACACTCTTTATTTGGGGATTTTAAAATCACCACTATACAGGCTTTCATGCAAGGCGATCCTCGCGACAACTTAATTGTATAATTAATATTCAATCATACTTTTTGCAGGTGAAAGAAGTATGATTGAAACATTATTGACCAAAACTCATCAACAACCACATCTGAATGTTAAATCCTACTTTGAAAGAGACACAGTGACATCCATTGAGTGTCTGTTCTGTTCTTGTGAGCATGTGTCATTTCATTGCATGGCGCACGGTGCAGCCTCCAGTAAATGTGTTACATCCTGTTGACTGTGGGGGTGTTTCCCATCCCAGCCGACCAGAGGCTCAGATCAGCTGCTGGAGGGACAGTGACAGCTCTACAGCTACTATCATGCAACTGATACGCCTGGAAGCTGCGATCATACTTGGTAAGTCAATTATCACTGTGATATTTTTTTCAAACTTCAACCCCTAGCTTATCGAATTCATCTTCACGTTAACAGAAAATCTAATTAAAAGTAATGCTATTAAATACAGTTACATGTCTTAGCTTATAATATATGTAGAGTCAAGAGTGTTTGTTAGTGATTATTATTATATTGAAGTTTCCTTTAAGATAACAGCTCAAGACAGATATATATATATACCAGGTGTGTGTTTGGAGATAATGCAATAACATCACATTTGAATCACAAAGAAAGAGTTTTCAGGATAAATTATTGTAATGTATTTCAGGGATAATGATTCATCAGATATCAAGCAGCAGCATTTCACCTCCACCTTCCAACTGTTTTGCTGATGTGGACACCTGCATGTCAAATCTGTGCAAGTGGAGTCAAGAAGCATTTTACGGCAACATCTGTGAGGGTAAAAATGACACATTTCCAATTTACCATTCCTGCTGCAGGGCGTTTGGGACACGGTTTTATTAGATGTTTTTCTTGTGGCATTATAAAAGTGTTGATTCCATTTCCTCAGGAAGCGTGGGACATGAGGCCACTTAATTGAATTGCACTTCTTGGAGTATGGCTTAAATTTAATAACGGAGGCAATAGCCTGGAGCAAAGTTTGTATAACTAAAAATCCATAATAATAAATAGCCTGACACAGCCTTTAAAATCTATGTTTGTTTTGACTTATAGTGCGTTTTATGTTGTCTGACATCTCAGGGGAGACAATCAGAGCAGCAGGCTGATACAGCAGGAAACACCTGTTGCACAAACAAGACCTCGTCTGGTTATAAAAAAATCCAGTTTTTCTACCTCCCCCTTGTGTTTGTGTTATTCTAGATGAAGGCTGCCAAATAAAAGGCTCAGAGGTCTGTAACTTGACCATCCAGACTGTGCTGGACCAATTTCCCTCTCTGCACGGGTGTGTGTGTGCCTGGGAGGAGGAGTATTGTGGCTCTATACAAGCACTTGCCACACAATGCAACCAAAATACAGGTGCAGTATTGTCAGTAGTCTCTGAGATAAGCATTTATAGGTGAAATTGCATTTCTGTTTACCAAAGGCGTTCTGATGTACTGTGTGATTAAACACTTCTGTGCTACTGAATAAAAAAAGGCTGGCTTTAATAGGCATTCGTAGGAATCATGTTTCCAATTCTCCTCACAGCAGCGCAGAGGAGGAGAGCAGGGAAGGACTGGCAGTCAAGCAGTTTAATAAGATATGGTAAATATGTGAACATAGTTTAAAGATTAAAGTGCCCTATTTTCCCATTTTTTTTGTGACTGGTTTTATTTTTAAATTGGTCAGGTGTTGAGTGAGAGAGTTGCAGCTGGCAACCACCAAACGAGCTGTAATTAAATACTTTTGTGCAATTTCCACCATCAATCTCTTCCACTTTAAGTGCTTGTTTTATGCGACTGACAGATTCAAATTGTTATTGTGGCTGAAAGCAAATTGAAAAAGACCCTACTGTTTGTTAATGTATCCAACCAAGTCTCCCTGGAGGAAAAGTATTGTTCTGAAAACTTGCATCGCATCCACATTTTTTAAATGAAGCCATGACACTGAAAATCATCTTGACAACACCAAAGTGCTGGCACTCCTCTCTCCAGATTTTACCCACTGTTAACCATTTTCTTCTGGCAACAATTTAATATGACAAAAACAGACCAGATTTAGCAGAGGAAAACAAAAATGGTTATTATCTTTGTAGGGTGAGTGGCAAAAAACAACTCATTTATAGCCTGTTGAAGCCTCATACTGGGCCGAATAAAAAAACGACTCTCCTTTTAGTCAATTAGACACACAAACATGGGAAAATAGGGTAGTATAGCCTTCAACCTTACGTTAAAAAATATACAATTATGTACACTGAATTCATCAATATACAAGTGATGTTTCTATAGTCTAAAAACATTTTACATTATTTTTGTTGCAGTACAAAACGGTGCTGAATCCTGCTTGGACCAAATTAAAGTGTGCGTCAATGATGCAGTTTGCAACAAGTACCTCATCCCCGTGATTCAGGCATGCATGGCACCACAATGTGACCATGACCGCTGTGAGAAAGCTTCTCAGCAGTTCTACAGCAGCATGCCACACGATGTTGCAGAAATAATTGTCATGTGCGAATGTAAGGATTCGGATCAAAACTGTCTGGATATAAAAACTGCTCTGCACAGCGGCACATGTGGAGACCAGATATGGATCTGCCAGGATACAGTTAACCTGTGTGTTGAGGACAGTACCTGCAGGCATGTCGCTATTCTTTCCCTCCTTTCAGTATGTCTTGAACTGCAAAAATACTACAGAAGAAAATAGTTGAGTGAATTTTGAACACATGTGAGTCATTTGAGTGTGGTAGTCTTCCTTACTTCAAAGATTGTGAAATATTACGTTTATATTCAAATGTTATAATAATGTTATGTGAAGTCATTTTACAGTTTGTACTTTAAAAGTCATAGAAAAAGTTGAGTGAAACTGTACAAGTTGGGAGTTCAGATCAGTGGAAAGCTAAGATGATTCAAAGATTAAAAAAACGTCTTCTCTAAACACCCCTTAAGCAAAGAATACTGCAACTCAAACATATTTTCTTTTGGATTAGCAGATATCTGTTAAATAGCTTCCGAGTCAAATGCTGGAGTCCTGAAGAAGCACAGTGCAGCGACAGAGACCTCCACACTGATGAATGTATTAGCCAGATGGACCCGGCTCTCATCCTTGGTGCAGATTCTGAATGTAAAAAGGCCTTCCTGGATACTTTGGGCACAGCTCTTCATTATCCTTGTCAATGCAAAGGAATGCACAATGATGATCTACTGACGTGCAACCTCATTCATGACTTGCTTCACAACAGATCACACTTCAGTGAGTAGGTTTTAGATTTACAAAAGCAACACATTTTATAATGAAAATGTGTTTCAAAGGACACATTTTTAAAAGTTTGTGTATTCCAGTGACATCTTGGAAGAGCAGTGATGGTCCAACTAAATATCCTGAAGTCGATGAATCTGAGCAAGCTCTCACATGGTCAAATGGTAAATTTAAGCACTTTAAAGCAGTTTAAACAATGAAAATGAGTTTACACCACTATTGTGAATATCTTCAACCATACACTTTGGTAAGTCCTGGCAGCATGACTAACTGGCTATCAGCAGCTACTTTTAGAACAGTTAGCCTTACTTTAGCAGGAAAAGCTTTCTGTGCCTCAGGAAACGTTCTAAAACAGAGAAAAACGAGGCAGAGCAAGTGGGGGACTTTGGAGGGAAAACCAGAAAAAATGTCACCATAAAATATGATACTGTTTCATATTTGATGGCGAATTTTTGTATTTGTATCAGATACAGTGTTACCAAATCAATTTAGTGTGTAAAACCTAATACTCTTCTCCTCTGGGATATTAGTACCTGCTCACCGAAGTTACAAAGTATCATATCATTTTATAGTTATTATAATAAATGAATGAGTATTATAGCTGATTACATTATGGATACGATTCTTTTTTTAATATATTGAAATGTTATAATGAATATTTTGTCTTTCAGGTTATCTGCTATTTGCTTTTGCAACTGCAGTACTTGTTGGAGTTGTTGTGTTAGTGCCTCTGGCTGTTGTCAGTAAAATATGGTAAGAACATCAACAGTAAAATACATCAAGTCTCTCTGATATCTAAAAATAAAGCCTTTCTACTTTATTTTTTCTTATAGGATGCTCAGAAGAAGAGACAAAACTAAGTTTCACCATCCAGAGAAAAGTAATTGTGCTGTTAATCCCTGATGGTGTTTATCCATCCATAAAATGTTTGTCATCAATAATCATGGGTCAACATTTTGTTCCTTTTTAGATTGAAACGGTTTTAGAAGTTGCCTGATTTTTTCATAATATTGATAAGAATATATGAAAAAATATCGACATATACTTTGTTATACTTACATTTTAATGTGACATGTTAACTTGTGTATCAGAGATTTTTAAGACGGATTCATATATTTTAACAATTGTATTTTGATTAAAAGGACAATCGTTTTCTTTCTGCTGTATATGATCAGTCTTCTTGTAATTTAGTCTGTTTCACACTGACCTGGTCTTTCCATCTTCGAAAGTTAAAACTCACCTGGAACATTTCATTTTGCTGTCACCAGTTGTCTTTTTGTGATGATTAAATAGTGATCTTTAGTCTTCAACTTTATGTGATAATAAACTTCACTCTTGACACCGGAAGGTCTCACGTTGTAAATGAAGACCTGTTTTTTTCCAGTACAAATACATAGCATTGTTAAGAGACAGGAAACATTGCAGAACAGTCTGACTAAACTGATTCAACTATCTGATTTGTTGTTTTTTCTTTATTCAAACTTGAGCTTCAAACTTGATTTATCTGCATTTGACTTGACAAAAGATATTAGAAGAGGAGTAGGGAGAAAGGTTAATGGCTTTGGTTCGAATAATATAACCTCGGGTTTATTTTCCTTCTGCTGCAGAAACTTTTCAGCCATGCAGGCTCCTGGAGACAATGATATGGTCTGTTAGTTTACTGTAATTATTGGGCTCCAGAGAAACACAGGTAAATCTGGCCTTCAGCTTATCATTTAGCAATCATCTGTACCTATACTGTCCTATACCTATTTCTTTTTCTAAAGCATTTTACTTTCTTGTGACCTCTTAAATCTTGCCAATTCATGTTTTCACAAATTAATTTGTTGAGGATGAGTCTAATAAATAAAAAATCAGACAGAATTAAAAGCTCTGGTGTAATTTATAATAAACAGCTTCAGTCACTATGAATTATGTTAAGAAATATGATTGTGGTATTGTTTTTATGCTAACGACCTACTTACAATATTTAGGAGAAGAGAAATGAAGCTGGAAAGGCTTCACAGTTTTAAATTCACCTGACCAACATGTCTGGACTGCGGGAGGAAAGAAACCCACGCGAATATATGAGGGATCAAGACTGAAAGTAAACACAAAACCACATGCAAACACATGCTGCACACAGAAAGACCCCCGCTGGTAGGAAGCCAGAACATTCCTGCAGTCAGACTGCTACGCTGGACACTGAATCAACCATGAAGATGTGGATATAAATATAGGAGATGACCAAAGCACGAACCTCCTGAAAGTGCTTTCACCTGCATTATGTCTACTAGCAAGCAGGGTCTGTCTTTTCTGGTGGCAAAAATAGATCGTATACAATATGGACATATTCTCTGAGACGTCAATCATGGTTTCTGAAAGGCCATTGTGAAGCTCAATGTGGGTGGCTTATGCCGTCGACGACATAATTGCAATGACAACAGTGCCCAAATCCAGGCTAATTTAAAATGGAAAAGGTGACGGATTCTTGTTTTTTAACCATGGTTGTCTGTGGGGATTTGCTCACTTAGTAGTCAGTCTCAAGTTGTCATAAGAAGAGCTGCAGATTTTTGCTTGATTTGATTCTCACACAGTCGGTTGCAAAAAAGTCCTGTTTTATAGAAAAGATCGAAAAAAGACCCAGATTAAAGTGTATAGACTTGTAGAAAGCAAACTAACTTTTATTAAATGACACCACATTGAATCAGTTTCAGTACACAACTAGAAACTGAAAAGGAATAATTATGCATGCTCTTATTGTCAGATTTGTACTGCAATGCCAATACAACTGTATTTTGTCTTTCAAATTATTCAGACTGCAAAACTTGGAGACTTCCAAAGTTTTCTTACAAGCGAGCTCATTATTGTATTGCTGCAACTTGGTTTCCCCTTGATCACAAAGCGCTTTTTCCCCAAAACAGATCTGAGAGTGACTACACTTCATTCAATAATTGTTTGCACAGACAATGAAGCTGGACGACTATCAGGGCTAATTACCACATTTGAATATATTCATGCAAGTTGTCTTAGTACTCTCCCACATCTGTTCATTAGAGTTACATTTTATTATAGTCTCACTTTGCACCGCAGAGTCCTGCCAGCGTTCATACTGGCATTTCAATTAAAGTAATTCCCTAGTGGGACAAAGAGCCTGCTATTAATGACAAGCTAGGTAGAAAACCAGGGGTACACTAAGTTCTGATGACAAAGACACCCACAAAGTATTTTCTCCTACTATGTTCTGTTTTCTTTATTTGGATCATCTTAATCCTCCAGCATATGGTTACATGAAAAGACAAAAAAACTGATAATGATATTTTTTTCTCAAACACAATATATATATATATATATATATATATATATATAAAGCAATGTATACTTGCCACCTTGTCTAGCATAACATTTAATTAGAAAATAGTGTAATTTTCTATTTTATTAGGTTTAACATATAGCACATATAGGATTTAAATAGACGGAAGAAACACATTTGACACTTACACAGACTATACTCCCAGACGGTAGCTTATGTAATGGTAAACGTTTTTTTAATGGCACATATATGATCAAGGGGCACTTAATGCTTTTAGGCAAACCTGAGGGCAAAAACTATTTTGACAAGGTGTTATTTAATTGTTTTGTTTGAGAGAAGTCTTGTTTTTAAGTTGCTATTCTCAGAGGACCTGACCTAGTATGAGAGCTGAAAGGGTCTTCGGAGGAGTAAAGTGCATTAAAGCTATTCATGTTTATTAAAAGGCAGGAGAGAGCCTTTTCTTCATGTTGTTTGTCTTCTCTGTTTATTAAAACACAACACCTATGTGGTGGTTTTTGATAAAGTTCAGTGGGTTGGAAAAACGAATAAAATACTTATTCTGTAAAAAATAATTATAAGGCCACTGAGCACCGCAAAGTAATAAAAGTGACTGATATTTAATCAGTGCACTTGTCTTCTCCATAAGTATGAGAACGTTTGAAAACAGAAGTGAATAAATGTGGCTTTTAAAAAGGCCAGTTTATATTAGTTGAATGAGATAAATGACATCAAATCTTCTTTAACAGAAGCATAGGCGACATATCTGAATGCAGCAACGACAGGGGAAACACTTAAAAGGTTAAATAAAAGGTTAATATTTAAATATATTCCCTTCACAGTGTTCTGCCTGTTGCCTGGGCAACCTTGGAGTTTGTCTCGCGACGTAAAGCATTGCAGATGAAGTCACCGGCTTCTATCACTTTGGCAAGATTCACACCCTGCAAAGAAAACATGTTGCAGTATCAGCATCTACACTGTGATTTTGTCTTAAGATGAACACAACATGTGTACACAGGCTCCTCATGACTTTAAGAAGAACGTGTGCAACAGGTGATAGAAAAAGTGTAGTGAAAATATCCGGCCAGCAGGGGTAGGGATTGTTAAATAAATAGTTCCTGAGATGGGGCATGCAACACTGTGGGCTTGTGCAAGTTGTGTAAAACCACTGATATTATAAAATAAACATTTACAGAGCAGTATGTTTGCAGAGCGATCTGGTAATGTAAACAAACTCTGAAAGATTGTTGAGTTTGGTTGATCTGTTGGGATTATGGATACATTAAATACAAAGTGCAACGTGGAGAAATACTCACAGTTTCAATGCCCATGCCATGGAGCATGTAGAGAACATCCTCTGTTGAAACATTGCCAGATGAACCTTGAGCATATGGGCAACCTCCCAGGCCAGCTACTGCAGAGTCCACCACACAGACCCCCATCTGCAGAGGACACACAACAGAGGCATTCAGACAGACCTCCACACACTCCACCTCAGGTAGAATCCAGGAACAAAGATCCTTGTTCTGCTGGATTGTTCTGCCCGCTGCCAGGGCTGCGGTCGTGTTTTACAGCTGTTTAGGAGAACTGCGGGCTTATGTCCCGAGGATGAGTGGGCACAGAATGTGGCTTAGTCATCCTCTTTGTCAGCTCCAACCACCAGCACCGCATAATTACGTTCATACGCGAGGAACTTTATAAATGCAGAACAGAATATGTTCCTGATTCTCCGTGTTACTCATGTTTTTACAGCAACACTCTGCCCTTAACCATGGGGATTCACTTTCTTGCCACATTTAGAATACTTTGTTTCTCCCCTCGGCTGGACGGTATCCACTTACAGCGTGCCAGCAATACAATAATTGTAGTGTTTCTTGACAAATGTGCAGTTGCTACAAATAATCTCTAATGTCATAATTAATTTTGCTGATGACTTCAGTAACATGTGTTGCTGTCCTGTGGTGGTGGTGCCTGCAAAAGATTTATTTTAAGGCTGTTCGCATGTTTGTCTCATAGGCTGCTTACAATCAAAGTTATATTTCATGGGAAACTTTTATTTTGTTCTTTTTTACTCGCTGTCAACAAATACCAAGTGTGCTCCATATGAAAAAGATGTGTGTGACGGCTTAGGAATGAAAATGTAACTGCTTTTGTTTTGATGTTAATGCCTCAAGATGAGTACATTTATATAGTTGTATTTTACTAGTTCCCTGAATTCGCATATTACGCAAAGCGATACAACTGCAGTTCAAAGTGTAAAAAACCTACAAGTGTACATTTTATTTTCACACCGAAAACGTATGAAGCCAGACCTTCAGAATTAAAGTCATTACAGCCTAAGGTCTTGTGATGTTTTCCACATGTCCCTGGGATCGTCATGAGAATATTAAAGATGTTTTCCAGCTTCCGTGGCAGAGCCAGATGTCAGAGGATCCCACAGTGAAACAAAATTAACACGCTGATCCTCACAGTGGCATCGGGTCATGAAGGACTTTCTCCCCATGGAGCAGAACCAAGCAAGCTAAATTAAAAGCATCTCTATTGCCTTTTTCCGAACAATGTTGCTAATTGGTTGCTTTTCCTCCAGACAAGAACCTATTTCTTTCAGGGGCCGTCTGAGCCAGCCGTAATTGCTGTTTGTGTTGGCAAGGGGAGAGGAGAAGGTGGGGGTGGAAGGAGGAGGAGGAGGAGATCGACTCTGGTGTGTGGAGTGCACGAGATTTCCAGACCTTGGATAAAGCCAGAGCAGGATATTGTACTAGGCAGATTTTTTTTAAAGCATAAACACAGAGTTGTAATCTAACATGTCAATCCTCTCGCTTTCAGCTGCTAACCGTGTAAGGCCAGGGGTCCTCGGCATACAGTTTCCGAGAGGAACAAAACGGACCCTTCATCAGCGTGCCCTGTACCTCAGGACACTAATTGTGCAGGATTTGGTGGTCAGCAGCTCCAATTTGCCAATGCT